ATGTTTTTTTTTAATCGTATGTAAAACGTTCATCACCTCGGTCACATGAATTACTTAATATGCTCCTTCATGCCACAAGGCTTTTATTTCATTTCATTTTGAAAGGAGGAACGGCGAACTGTAGTCGAGCCGCAAGCAGACACACTGACGCCAGACTGTCTGAAGCAGATATAAACAGTGCCAGCTACCATAAACAAAGGATGTTGCTTCTTTGGGGCGGAGTAGGCGGGCTTTGCTGCACCTGTTTAACCTGTTACTGCGACGTGTGTGTGTGTCTGTGTGTGTCTTGACTCCCTTGTGTTTGCATGGTTTTTTTGCAATGCGGGGTTTCTCGTTATTTTAATTAAGAACATATCCTCGTGTGTTGTTCACGGTGATGCACTTTGATGATGTATTCCTCTACCCCCCCCCCATTCTAAATTAAGGTTCAACCCGGTCTATAATTACATTCCTCAAGCCACACTTAGATATTAGTTTGATGTTTCATGCTGGTGATCATTTTTTTTGTTGATTAAAGTTTAATTCATATTCTTAGCTCTTTCGGTAAAGTCACGTTGAAGGGAAACAATAAAATAATAAAATATGTAAAACGTCGTGAGAATTTTTATTGTTTTATATATACTTTATTATTTTATTGTTTCCCTTCAACGTGACTTTACCGAAAGAGCTAAGAATATGAATTACTGCAGTCACGAAATCTTTAAATCAAAATTTAAAGTTTAATTCTTTATCTAAGGCGTTTGTTTCCATGAATGAAGCTAAATGCTCACAACAAATCACAAGCATGGGTTGCTCGATGGGATCTAGAAACTTTCAGGAGCGGTTCTGAAGCTATATATATTGACTCGTATAAAACAAATATAGGGGCCAAAAACCCCAAAACCAACATCAATGAAGACCTCAAAAGGTGGGGGCAACCCCCCCCCAAAAGCCCCCAAAGGAATTTCCATGTGGAATTCACTGCACTGAAGGTTTTTATAGTGACTCACTGCCAAGTACATGGCTTGATTTCATCGCTCCATCTCCTGTTTGGGTCATTCCTCCGTGCACGTTCCCTCGCTTCTCTGCTAAACTGTGGGAACACAATGTGCGCAATACCATAGTGGGTGTCGTTTATTTTTAACCCCGTGCGAGGCAAAACGTTAGGGACAAGGAGATGGCACGCTGTTTGTGTTGACCCGCATTGTGATAACGCCAACTATTTGGAGTGTCCACTATCAGTAACTTTTCAATAACTTGCTGTAAGATCAATCTAATTCAGAAGAAGAGGCAGGTTAAATAGGACTCTACGTGTAATATTACAATTGTTTAACAGGGCCCTTAGTGAATTATACGTAGATTATTGGGGATATAGCAAAAGTTTCCGATTTCATTTTATGCATTCTTCCTATTATCCATGCACCGTAATCCAACATCAGCATGTATGTTATCTGTGCATTATTCCTATTGTCTGAGCCATCACGCGGATAATAGGAAGCAACTGATAAGTGGTGTTAAATTATTAATATTATACTTGTTTATCCATACTTAACCACGAGGGTAAAATGAGTTAAATGCAATTATAAACACATACTGTATTAGGGTCCAGAAATTAGAGCCTCTAAATATAAAATCGTATAAGAGGAGTCAGTATGAGCTTAAATATAACTCGCTTTTTTGCCCGTCCAAGGACGGGTGTATATTGCAGTAAATCTGAAATATTCAATAGAAAAAATGTTCAGCTCATGATTATTAATGAGGAGGGGGGGTTGGCCCATGTGGAGTGTCGTCACCCGCTAATGGTTATTGGGGAGGGGTGCGGCATGTGGAGTGACGTCACCCGCTCATGATTATTGTGGAGGGGGGCGGCATGTGGAGTGACGTCACCCGCTAATGGTTATTGGGGAGGGGTGCGGCATGTGGAGTGACGTCACCCGCTCATGATTATTGTGGAGGGGTGCGGCATGTGGAGTGACGTCACCCGCTCATGATTATTAATGAAGGGAGGGGTGCGGCATGTGGAGTGACGTCACCCGCTCATGATTATTAATGAAGGGAGGGGTGCGGCATGTGGAGTGACGTCACCCGCTCATGATTATTAATGAAGGGAGGGGTGCGGCTTGTGGAGTCCGTGACCTTCTTGTGCATTAGTGTAAATTTCCACGCGGGCATGAATATTAATGAAGGGGGGGGACGTCACGCACGCATGTAGCACTGTGCTGCTTAGATTTATTTTTTACCGTCATGTTCTCTAAAGAAACGTCATATTTGAAGCGACGTTGCGTAATAAATTATTTAATTCAGCTCGACCTTCCTCTGCGTTCGTGTAAAAATCCACCCACTCATGAATATTAAAGAGGTGGGGGGGGGCCTCATGTGGAGTGACGTCACGCGGTGGGGTGGGCCTCATGTGGAGTGACGTCACGCGGTGGGGTGGGCCTCATGTGGAGTGACGTCACGCGGTGGGGTGGGCCTCATGTGGAGTGACGTCACGCGTGGGACACATTCTTGGCTCATAGTAGTGGTGTATAGATAGTGTTGCTCGTACTTATATTAATGTAGCTCAAATGTCAACATATTTTTTAGTCAAGGATGCTGAACATGAGGGCAAACACACATATACACAACACTACATATGCAAGTTGTGCATTCGGTTGTGTATGAACGCGCTTCTTGATCAGAATGCGTGATGTCTTTGCTATCTCTTGAAAGCCCTCTGCTTTTGATTTAAAGCTTTCGTGACTGCAGGGATTCATATTCTTGGTTCTTTCGGTAAAGTAACGTGACTTTACCGAAAGAACCAAGAAGATGAAGCCCTCTGCTTCCCCAGACATCCATATTGTATACAATGTTTTGGCTTCCTTTTCTAAAAAAGAACTGGTTAGTCAAGTGAAAGCCAGTGGCTCTCCCAGCTGACTAAGTTACACAGATCATGACAAAAGCTGTTGTCAATTGTGGTTAGTAGTCATTTAGTTATGCAAGTGTGTTTATAGTAATTGATTTTAAATAAAATTGATTTATTTTATTTTATACCTACGTGACGTTCTTTGGTTCTTTCGATAAAGTCACGTAGGTATAAAATAAAGTGTATTGATTTTATTTTAAATAACAATTATTTATTTTATTTTTCTACCTACGTGACTTTACCGGAAGAACCAAAGAGTGTGGATTCCTGCAGTCACGAAAGCTTCAAATCGAGATTATAGTAATGTTAATAACATTATATAGCATCGTTGTTTTGTCGAATGTAATGTCAGTTGATTGTTAGTGTAGTACAGTATTAGTATTCTGCCAAAAAGGAATGCTCATGTCAAGTAAATGGTAATAATCAAATTTTGATTTAAAGCTTTCGTGACTGCAGGGATTCATATTCTTGGTTTTTTCGGTAAAGTCACGTAGAAGGGAAACAATAAAATAATAACAATATAAAACAATACAATTCTCACGACGTTTCGACTACGTGACTTTACCGAAAGAACCAAGAATATTATAATAAACAGTTAATGTATTTTGTCTAACCACGTAATAATGCTGATCTGGGGTTGACTCAACCCATTATTACCATGCGGTTTATCAAAAAGTATGACTTTATGAAAAGTCAACACAGTTGTCTGATGGGGAAATCTACTCCCCAGTTTCATTATAAGTCATTTACCATCACCACGAAGCAGCGGGGACGGTTCACTGGATGTTGTTAGGCTGCAGAGATGATCTGTTCTTGCCAATTAATGATAGAGTAAACGTGATCAAACAAGACAAAGAGCTGCTGTGCCTTTATGCCAGGTGGTGGCGACGGCTATGCGCGTCTGAAATACATCACTATGGAGGTGGATCGCACAAATGTTGTGAGACTCCCTTCCCGTGGGTGTTGAGTTTACCATACCATGGCTGGCTGGTCGATAGCAGGACAGCAATTGTCGACTCATCTCCATCCATTCTATCTGTATGAGTAGTGTTGCCCCCTAATACTTTTCTCCAGTTACGTCACGTAACATATCGTGCGCAGCTTAACTAGTACGTGAACCATGTTCCAGTTCGAGTTTAAATATTTTACTTTAAATGTATTTATGCATGTATATTAGTTGCTTTTGCCACTTTCCCAGAAATTTTACAAAATGCGATCCTTTGTCAAGTGTAATCAGTAACGCAAAATACTGAAGTTTGCAATACCGTAAAACACAGTGTATTGATGCACTGTGATTGAAAATAAAGATATACAAAAAAATATACATTCCAAAACCTTCAAATATTTACAAAAAGCACATTTTTTCGCATAAACCATTCAGGCAATGTGCGTGGCATTACCCTCACACCGAGCAAGTTTTTGTTACAAACTGTAAATCGTTGTCTTCCCATCTGTTATCGTACTGCCAAAACTCGAATCGGAAATACTGATGGTTTGCACGCACATGGCACAAGTGACACTGGGTGATTGTACGTTAGAGACTCACCTAAGCACGTGACTGTTTCATATCCTCATACGTGAACAATAAACAACCCTCCACCTGTGCCCAAAACCGGTATGCGCTTAACCCAACCCGACTTGCCTGTGTCAGACATGAAGTTAAGACAGTGGTTGACGGATCATACGTGTGTGCTTGGAATGTTATTTTCCTGGATATGTCACGTTCAATATATTTTCAATGACATCTGTTTGTAAGGTTGTAAAAGCACAAGTTTACTCTGTGTAGTATTATGCAGAAGCAACACGAGTATGGTGAGACGAGGATGCCCGATTAAGGACAATTGTTAATTGCTGTGTTTATTTGCATACGTATTTTATAAGTCATAACAAAAATATTCATGATGATGCCTACTTTTGTAAGCATGGTACACTTATTAAGACAGTTCCGTGAAACTCATATTGCACGTTATTTTACATTTATTACAATGAAATATGTGTGTGTGTGTTTGATTACTGGAAATGATATGTTATTGATTGCTTTTCCAACACCCTTTTCTGCCGCCCAATGCCCTTCAACCCTCTTCCCCCCCCCCTCCCCTTTCCTTGAACCCTCCAGTCACGACGAATCGGAGTCAGAACCAGCTCACAAACGGAAAGCAAATGTACGGTGGCTTGATGGGTCCAGGACCACCTGGGATCCAACCTGACCTGGACACACCTATAGCAGAGGGGGAGCACCTGCTGCAGGTGAGGACGCAGCTGCTCCCCGTGCAGGCTACTGCCTGACGAACGAAGGGCATGATTATATACCTGGACCTCCAAGTGATTAATGGTTGGTGAGGCTGAATGTCGAATCACGGAGAAAAACTTAAATGTCTGGCGAAATAAAATTGCTGGGTTTTTTGTTATTTAGGCTAATCTTTCCTCTTTTTTTACGTGTAGCCAACACTGTTGCATATATATGCACGTGTGCCCATGTCTCACTTTTACCAACACAACCAATAAAGCTGCTTGTGTACCAATTTATAACCTACCCTGCTTATTTCACGTGTTTACTGCCTTACCCCTGGCCAACCTGCAATGCACACTGTTACTCACTCCTCTTACCCATCTGATACTTGGATGTGAAAATATGGAATACAAACAGCATTAAAAGCATGTTTACATTATTAATGTTGTATAAACCATGCAGAAGGATGTCGTACAGTTAAAATAGTGCACACTTATTAAAATACCCATGTGCACTTATCCACTTACATGCTCACAAACCCACGCATAAAAACAGCTTAAAGTCTGTAAATAGCACCACCCACGCATGCTATGTTTCTGCAGCTGTTGATGTCTTGCCTTGCTTGTGTCGTGAACACACACATTGAAGCTTTCAGCTTCCTTTTGCAGTGTGGTGCCATCACTCCTTAAACCTTGCTCAAATTAACAAGGGAACCCCAGGACATTCTGGCATGTCCGTGGGACAGATTTTGGCACGCAACATTATGCCAAAAATATCGTGGAATGACTGCAGCCTGACCTCAAACCCACAGGTTTTGCCCCTTTGACCTAGGCCACCATTCGTAAATGTTGCTTTATCTCAAGGAATATATAGAAACTTCATGGGGCCTTTATGGATTTGGGACACATTGTTTGCATGCGCTATAGCACACTCATGAGCACAATTGATAAGCATGGCTAAACACACAGACTTAGAATACACATTAAAACATTTGGAATAGCGAATCCATACGATACATTGCAATTCATTCTGGATCTTGGTGGTGTATAGCAACATTTGTTTTACAGCGAGGATAGAATTGAGTTGTGACAGTGGAATGAGTTAGATGAGTATTGTAATGAGTGTTTTTCGATGAATAGTTTAAATGCACAAGAATATCTATTTTTTCACAACCATGTTGACTCTGTCTCCTTTTTTAGTGTGGGTTATGCACGAGTCATGACTAGCCTGTTTTCACGGCATTTACTTTGAGGAAATACGTCATTGCTCCATTGCATAATTGAAGGACATTGGCACATTCATTCTATTAGCTTCCTTTATTTGCAAAAAAATGCCCACACATAAACAGTGGTTCAAGCATTGCACTCTGAACCTGATAAACTATACTGCATTCTTTTTAATTAATTGTCTACATATAAGCCCCCATATGGGCTGTAAACACAGACATAAAACTTGTGGGCCTTGATAGCGTTGCATACCTGTTATCCCTTATCAGTGCCTACCTTATTACTGACTAATTCAGATCTTATTGGTCACCCCGTGCCCTTATAAATCTCAATGTCCGTCCTACAAAGTCCTATTACAAAGGAGAAACATAAACATCTAGGCAATTGTTATGCCCGTATTGAAACGGCTGTATGCCGTGTGGACCTAAAAACTAAATTTCTCTGTATAAGAATACGGGTAAACCGTATGGGTTGACAAGTATGGCATTGTGGGAATTAAATATTAACTCGTTACATTGTCCATCATATGGTAGGGCCATTATTCCATTGACAGTTGTTCCTAGTCACATAGTCGATTAAACAGCAAATGCAAACAAGATCATTAATTTACATGGTTGTTTAAAAAGATGTTTGTCATGTGTAATAGTTTTCACGACTTTTGAAATGTAAAGAGTGAAAATGAAAGGAATGTGAAGAGCCAAAAGAGTTAACCAATATTAAGCCTTAACTAAGTGACAATTGTTTTGGATTTATAATAACCCATATTAAATTTTGATTTAAAGCTTTCGTGACTGCAGGGATTGATATTCTTGGTTTTCTGTAAAGTCACGTAGAAGGGAAAATATAAAATAATAAAAATATAAAACAATTAAAAGTGAGAATTTTATTGTTTTATATAGTTTTTATTATTTTATTGTTTCCCTTCTACGTGACTTTACCGAAAGAACCAAGAATATGAACCCACATTCAAGTCAGCCCACCTAAATGTAATTAAACTGTTTGCGATAATTGTATGCCTTGAATATATGATGGCAATGTATTAAAAAGTTTGTATGAACTTATTGACTTATGGAAGAAGTTTTAGACAAGTTATCGCAAAATGAGTAATTGATAAAAAGAGTACCTTTGCAATTGTCTTGTGTAAAACAGAGTACAAAAGAGGATGATTAACTATTCAAGTGTTAAACTGAACACGCATTAGTATCTCTAAATAAACGATGTGCACTTTATGTGTACAGTAGTTACATGGATTAGTTGTGATGATATGAGTATACTAGTTAATGTTGACACATTTATAGACTAACCAATGGAAATTGTAAATGATTGCATGCATACTTGCTTAGCCATGCTGCACTAAATTATGAGTTTTTTTTCCCTGTTAAGAAGCAGCCAAAGCCCAAAGGGCAATACGAGTCATCAGTTACTTTTAATTTCTTATATAATTTTTTATATTTCTGGTCTAAATGTGAACATAGACCATGAGGAAATGTGTGGTGGTTGGAAAATACATATTCCCATTCATAATCTGGGTTTATTTCAATTGACACATGCACATATGTAGATACGGTTGTCTATATTAAATAATTTGAAAACTATACATTCTATGGAGAGATATTGTTGCTTGTGTTAATCTAACTAGATAAAGAGCTAAAATGGTATACTCCTAAATTAAAACTTTGCTCTCTACTTTTCCAAGTGAATTTGAAGAAGTCACGTGGTAGGTATCAAATAAATTAAATCACGACGTTTCGGGCACAACACAAGCGTTCGTCATCAGGTGGGACAACCACCGCAAGAAACTATTGGCCACCTCAGCAGTTGCCCACTTCAGCAATTGCTTCTTGCTGTGGGTGTCCCACCTGCTGACTGATGCTTGTGTTGCGCCCGAAACGTCGTGATTTAATTGATTTTATACCTACCACGTGACTCTACCGAAAGAACCAAAGAGTATGGATCCCAGCAGTCACGAAAACTTCAGATCTAGATTGAATTTGAAGAGTTAAACTGCTCGTATGGTTTAAAACTGCTTTTTGTGTTTAGTTTCCTGTCCTTCCCCCGCATCTCCGTGTAGCACGGTTGGCGATGTACAGTGTGAAAGAAGTTCAACACATGGCAGTCCTCGGCTTACGAACACAATTAGTTCCTGATGCCCGTTCATAAGTCGAATGGTCGGAACACAGTAATATACTGTATGCAAATGCCCAGACACACAAACACTCGCTCCCAGCATGAGGCCGACTCATTACATCTCACGGAGGATTGCTCAGCTTAACAAAATAGTGCCTCAGTTCAATTTGCAATTGAGAGTTTGTGTTTTAAATCAACGTAAAAAAAAAAACTTTATGGAATCTGGTTCGTAAGTGCAGGTGTTGGTAAGGCGGGTGTTCGTAAGTTGAGGACTGCCTGTACATGCATACCACACTTTCCACAAGTTTGAGGCATAGAGGTTTCGTTAAAGCCTTTTTTTACTGTGGCTTCCAGAGACTTGCTCAAGCCACAAGAAACGCCAAGGCACAGTTATTGTTCACATAATATTTGGGTAATGTCTGGTGCACTGAATACAATAACTATCAAAATTGCCATTTTATTGCTTTGTTGGTTATGTTAGGTACTTTGCAAGATTTGTATATACAAAGCAGCAGATCAAGAGTTGTGGAAGAGAAGGCAAATCACGATGTGACCTTGCAAGAAGGAAGAAGCCGTTTAAATTGCTGCATTAATGTGCATAAATTAAGTAGTATAAAGTGTGCAGAGGTTTGGTGTTTTTTGTTATCTTTTTGAGTGAGCCTAAATTTTATACTGGTTTGGGTTTATAGCACAACAATTCTAGAAAAGTTATCACATCTATGCATTATGCAAGTGAGTTTTCTGCAATGCAAGCGTGAAAGCAGAAAGAGCGAGGTCAATGATGGGACATTGACAAATGGGAGAAACTTGGAAGCATATCACATGACAGAGATAGAATCTTAAATTTAGTGTAGGAATTGTATGCAGGTCTTTATAGCAGAAACATTCATATATTCCAGCAATAAACCTATTCTTCAGATGAAGACGTTCAAAAAGCCACGAAAAAAACAATCTTGTGTCCGTAATATTATGCAACCTTAATCATGTATACACATCCCGTGAGAAGTGAACTGGATTATTTGTCATACATAGATTACTGCCGTTGATTAATTTGCTTCTTAATACGTTCATTTCGTTTACTGTCTCTCCAGATGAGGCCTTGGTGTTCGTTAATTTCAATAGTCACTGGCCTTCATGACAGCATACTCCTGGCACTGACCCTACTTACTGGCGCCTCGCCATACCTTAAATACCCACCCACTATCTGAACTATCGCCTTCTCTGAGCAGTGATGCTGAACCCTGATAAGGTTCCCTTTGCGTGACTTATCTGCAGCAGAAAACAAATTGTTGAGCTCCTTCTCTGCCTTTTTACCAGTCCATACCCCAAACTACCTTAGTCTGTCTGCCCCCCCCCCCTGCTCCCCTGACTCTGGCGCCTCATAGTTTTAGGTTTATAGAGAAAATGGAGAGGTGGGCAGAGAATTGTGGTAAAAACTGGTAAAGCCTACCTGAACATTACATCCACATTTCTTCCCTCTTGCTTTGCAAAAGTGATGATGGGCATCACTTCAATGGCTATCTCTTTTAGTCGAGCTTATCCTTCCCAAAAACATTAGTTTTTTTAATAGACAAAACTAGTTGTGGAAATTAACAACCAAATAAATACATTGATTTAAGCAGGGCACATGTAAGAGTAGATTGATGTAATGGCAATCATTATAT